ATGCCGGCAATAGAAAGTATGAGGAGGGGTTTATCAGGGAGGTGAAATCGTTCATATCCCGAATAATGAAGGACGGGCAGCATGACCCATAACGTGAAGAAGGTCATCAACCCAATCCCACAAGCAAGGAGATTGGGGTGGAGCCCGAACGGTGGCGGGTACGCCAAGTCGTCGACCTTCATGCCGCTTTCGCCGAGCTCACTGGCAGGGAGGCCATCCGAGTCCGCGAGGGGTACATACGCACTAGCCGGTTCGAATTCCTGATCCGAGGACAGCGCCGCATGTCGCTTGTACAAGACTTGGTACAAGCCGTACCCGACCGAGGCGCAGAGCGTGAGCAGATCCCCAACCAGTGGCGCTTTTGGCTTCACGGTCTCCCTCGTGTGGCTACTATCACCAGAGGGCGAATTGGGTTGTGCCGCGTCGCCGTACACGACGGCCATGACGCCAAAGGTTGCGATGAGGACCGCCAGGATCTTGCGGAGTTCCCAGTCGAGCTTGAAGAGCCGCACTGTGATGATGTACGCAAAAAAGGCGTTCGTGTTCCAGATGGCGGTGATATCGCTCAGTCTTGAGACATGAATAAGTCTTTCCCAGTCAGGACAGAATCGACGCTTACGGAGACAGCGACACGCTGGCGAACCAGAGCACAGAGGGCAATGTAACACCAAAGGCCAAGAAGGCCACCAAACGGAGAAAGCGGGCATATGGGAATGGCGACCGGAGCGTGACAAGATGGCTCTGGTCGCTGGGGGCGAAATGAATCTTGACGGCGAGAGAGAGGCCTGCCAAGAGAGATTCTAGGGACGCAGAGGTCGTGAGGATGAGGTATAGCAAATGCGCTGGGAAGGTAAATGCAAATGAGGAGTGGACAATGTAGCTGCGGAGGACGAATATGTGAGAGGGGGTTTCAACGGGTAGAGACAGACGCTGGTCGACGAACGCACAAGAGGAAGTACGGCTGTCGATAGTGAAGCGTGCTTTGTACATACTGTGAACAGATGAAAATCGTGAGATGAAGAAATCGACGTGGCAGAAGAGAACTCGGACCTGGGTGAGCTGGCTCTCCACGACAAACGCGATGAGGGTGACGACGAAGAGAACGAGGACAGAATTTCCCCCTAGACGCGGCAAGGAGAGCAACCGCTCGGGACGAGGACGAGGGGGCATGATGGACGTGTGGTGGGGAAAATGAGCGATGTCGGATGGGGTTATCACAGCATATGTACGAGATCCGGACACGTTCTATTCTGTTCTGAACGGGGCTGGCCAGCAACAGGAGCAGTGGTGCTTGTAGCCCTGTGAGCGCTGCCAAACTCGGACTGTCACCTCTCTCCGCCTCCGCCACCATGATGCTCAGGGCGTTGCTCTCGTCAGGCAGACCCCTTCTTTCGAGCGCGAGGGCCAGACCCGCCCTCTTCCAATCGAATCATCCACACCATCATGTCGACGCCACTCCGCCACTGCCAGCACCTTCTCTGGCCCGAAGCATGAAAGTCCGGTCTTCTGTCAAAATCATGTGCGACGGATGCAGCGTCGTTCGAAGGAAAGGTCGCGTATACATCCTATGCGCGAAGAACCCTCGCCACAAGCAGGTCAGTGACTGTCCTACCAACCTGTGGACGCGCTCTGACACCCCCAAAGCGTCAAGGTTGAGTTCTTGGTATGAGCATGCCCTTGTGGCGCGTGGGTTCCTCGCTCATTCCGACCTTTGTAGCATTCAATGCCATCATAGGGGCGATAATGATCCAGCGTGGCTTGTTCGTAATAGACCGCCCAGTAGACAATAGAAATGCACGAAAAACTCAGTACTCAGACTCTATGGTACACAATAACATCCCTTCTTTTATCCATCATCATTGTTCCCACTTCCTAGCCTCACTACCCGCTGGTGCCTTGATTGGCACTGGAGCTTTCTTGACATCCTCCCAATTTGTGCTCAGCGCAGTGCCACCACTCTCCTGGAAACTTTTCATCATTGCCCGTTTAGTGTCCTCGTCGGCATTTGAGAATAGACTTTGGAAGAACTCGTTGAGCGTGCTGTCACCGCTCACGTTGGGGTCATCTGCGCTTGTTTTAGCCGTTTCTGAATCGAGAATGGTCTTGGTGACGCTGTCCCAATTTTTACGCGCCTGTGGGAGGGTTGTCCCGGCCTTTGTAGCTGGAGTGGATGCAGAAGAGGAGTTGGCCAGGGCTGCGGGGCGAGGTGACATGAGCCAACTATGTGAACCTCGGTCGCGTGTACACGTACGATCAGGGGCATCCCCTATGAGGCCGCCCCAACGCCCTTGCGCAGCCTTGACAAGTCGGATCTCGACCTTGACTTTCCCCACCACAAAGTTCGACCGTTCAGGATCGATTTGGCCCTTTAGTGGCTGCAAGTCTAAGTTTTTGTCGCCATTCTCATAGAGGATCTGCCATGAGAGTGGTCAGCGCCATTCGTTTATCCGTGTGTGGAGGAACGAACGCTGCGGGGCTGAAAGGTCACGTTGACATGGGCAGGGTCTGCACCGCGGTCAAAGACGGTGAGAGTGAGCCTTTCGTCGGTCTCGTAAAACTCGTGTCTGGCATGGGATGAGGAAAGCACTGCAGGTGATGATGCGTTGGGACGCGCACCTGATCGTGGTGGCCATGAGAGTTGGATCCCCTCTGTCCCTCTCCTCGGGCGTCGCGAAACAAACAAAACAAATAAATCTAGAAAGTTCGCTCACGTGCGAGCAGAGGCACGATGACATCATATATACAGACAAAGCCTTTCCGCGCCGCGCCGGCCAACCTGGTGATTAGGACCCTCCACCACCATGTCTGACATCGATGCATCGCATCACATCCACGTCCCAAAGGCTGTTCTCTATTACAATCCCCAGTCAGCGTGGTCCATCGCAGGTGTGCTTCTCCTCGAAAGATCCATCGATCCACCGCTGACGGCTGGTTCAATCTAGCGCTCCTCGCCCTGTACGTCCATATCCCCTCCATCTACCAGTTGACACGTCATCGCGTCATCGGCTACCCAGGGAAGAAAAGGGTTATGGAAAGGATGAAGTAGATCTCAAGCTTGTGGACCTTTGTGGGTCTAGTTCGAGCGTGGAGAACGACATCCGTTGACCTAGACATCGGTAGCCAAGGGCGAGAACTTTTCGCCTTCGTTTTTGCGCCTCAACCCCCAAGGTAGCAGCTGTCCTTCATCCACTTATCTCCCCTTACCCGAACCCGTCCTTAGGAACCGTACCGACCTTGGTCGTTCCATTCGAGAATACCTTGTCCCCTGATATGGAGAGTCGGTATAGGGCCATCACCGACACCGATGTGAGTCCCACGCTACGTGTTGGAGATCTGGGCTGAATAGTGTTGCATCGCAGGCCCTGATCGCCTTCCTTGACAAGTCGCGATCGACCATGTCTCGCACTCATACAACGTCCTCCGCTCCTGCTCCTGCATTATCCCCAGCAACGGTCGCTCTGTCCTCTGCAGCCAAGTCTATCATCACTTTGGTCCACTCGGGGGTTGCTTCCCCCGATGCGCTTTTCTGCTTGAATGCAAGGGACCTCCCCGCTCTTAGGGCGATAGCGCCGAGTGTCTCCGCTTTCCTAAAGGGACGCAAGCAAACTTTGGAGCGCCATCTGGCAGAGAACGAATCCAAAGAAGTTCGCGTCTCCGAGAAAACCAATACGTTTTGGTTGGAGAAGAAGAGGGCGATAGAGGCGTTACTGATTGTTTTAGATCAAGCTGATAAGAGCGACTCGGAACTCAGCGAGTCTGGAAGGACAGCTCGTCAGGAGTACTTTGATAAGTCCAAGGCGATATGGGAGGTCGATTTGGCAGTCGTTCTGAACAACGTCAGCAAGGAATTGGTTGGACCGTACGCCCTTGGTGCGCCACGTTGTGTTGGAGAATGCTACATTTGCCTCATCACGCTTCGATTTTTACGTGCAGGGGAACAAATTTCCATTGTAGATGTGCACCTCGCAGCGTGGTTGCGTGCGTTGGTCACTCTGTCTGGGGGCAGTATTCGAGACAGCGGAACAGCAGCAATTGCCCGGCTGGAAGAATACGTTGGTGGAAGGGCTGCATTTACTAAAGACATGGTCACAGCATCAGCAACACGGACGATGGATTCGGACGGATCAGCGACTGCGCCAACGACAACTACATCGAGACCAAGGCTTGCAGTGCTGTGGGATGCACTCGCTACGAGGTCGAGCTGGCAGCAGGTTTTTGGTGCCGACGGATGAAGCGTTGATGCCATTGATGGATCTAGAATTACTGATTTGTGAGAATATACAATAGACGGTTTTCATTGGACCGCGCCGTGATGATGTCCTCGAACCGGAACTGGTCGCCAAAAATACTGCCGCTGTGTCGATAACATTCCTCTTGATCCATTTATTAAATCCCGACAAGGAGCCTCTACCGTCCCGCCTACTGCACGATGCCCGAGACGTCGATGACCCCCCGCCGCTTAACGCCCACCCCACATTTCTCAATATTTCCACCGTGGAATCCGCTCCCCCGATGCTCCCCTTCCGCCGAGCGATTTCGAGGCTATACTCCCCACGGGCGTGTTCGTCGGGGTCTTTCAATGGATTCATCCTCGGAACGCCGCATGCAGATCCGGTCGACTTGGGCGTCTCACCCTCGAAGTAGGAATGGCGGGGCATGGCAACAGTGGCGACGGGACCTCTCGGACCATCGTCCGGTTTGTATGGGCCAACCACGCAAAGCTTGAGTACAGGAAAGAACACACAGAATGTGTCCAAGCTTTGTGAAGGGCCATTACACCTTTAACACTGGACATTTTTTGATGAAGCCCCTCATAGGAATGATAGGATCATCCTAGTTGCCCCTGATCCAGAAGATAATTTCTCAATGCAGGTCACAATTGCCACCAAATACATCAATCAATCACTTTGGGACTGTTAGGGAATATAATCTGTCACCATTAGCTACTCATATTAGGCAACTCAATGTGAAGATATATTCCCAATTCTATATGAACCCATGGCCAGGTAGCTCAATAGGTAGAGCTCACTAAAGTACCTCATAAATCCAGAAGGCCTGGGTTCAACCCCTAGTCTGGCCTTTTGGCTCTGAGTCACATTCCTACCACTGAATAAAGCAGTGGACACCTTGTGACCTTGGCCCCCAAAGGGTCATGGGCCTTTGAATACTGAGTCAAATCTGTTCCATGGATCTTCACAAGGGAGCAAATGCCCCTATTTTGTTGTGGTAGCAACTTCTCCCCACAGAGAATGATAGGCATTGATGGCAGTCATTACAGCATAACAGGCCTAACATCACAGTCTGGTATATGGAACCATTCACATTAGAAGAACTCATGCAGGCATCAGTGTCTTTTTTAGCCAGCTTTTTCTTGAGCTGCTCACTTGAGATCCCAAACTTAACGAAGCCAAACACAGTGAGCGAGACATTTAAGGTTTTTTTCGAGATGTATGGCCCATCAGCTCATGTATTGGCCTCAACCGCTACAATATGGACATCCGCAGACTACTCTTCCGCGCCTTCGTCGGCGTCGGACACGGACAGCGATGAGCCGCGCTGAAATATAAATATAATATTTCCAAACAGATACTCTCTCTTCTTTTTTTCTCCCTATTGGCGCTGTCGATAACGTTCCTCTTGATCCATTTATTAAATCCCGACAAGGAGCCTCTACCGTGGCGGGCCTACTGCACGATGCCCGAGACGTCGACGGACCCCCCACCGCTTAACGCCCACCCCACATTTCTCAATATATCCACCGTGGAATGTGCTCCCCCGATGCCTCCCTTTCCGCCAAGCAATTTCGAAGCGATACCCCCCGCGGGTGTGTTCGTCGGGGTGTTTTCCATGGATTCCTCCTCGGAACGCCGCATGCAGATCCGGTCGACTTGGGCGTCTCACCCTCGAAGTAGGAACGGCGCAGGGCATGGCGACGGTGGCGACGGGACCTCTCGGACCATCGTCCGGTTTGTGATGGGCCAACCACGCAAAGCATGGGATCGGCGTGTTCGCGTCCATAATTCTGCCCTCTCTGCGTGGCCCTAAATCTAGTGACACCCTCTTGCGCGGACGTAACAGAGTTCAAGGACATCGTCATCCTGCCAGTCGCGGAGAACATGAACTCTGGCAAGACGCATGCGTTCTTTACTTGAGTCGCCTCGATGGCGTGGGTTCCACCGCTTTACTTCCATGTCGATACCCCTCTGCCAAAATGCTCTTACTCCAACTGGCAATGCCTCGAGCCCTATGCGTGCCCTTGCTCCACATGACCCTCTTCTTGCACGCCAAGACAAGGCGTCCCGGATTTCGTCGTCAAGGTGGATGACGATTCGTTCGTCATGCTTGCGGAACTGGAGGCGCGCCTGCGCGTCGCATTACACGAGAATCACATGCAGCAAGTTGGAGACCAACGCCAGTGGCAATGGTTATGTCGGCCATGCCGACTTGCGGGATATCAACAAACAACACTGGCACGACCTACTCCATTCCCGCTTGCACTCTGGTGTCCCTTTTGCTCGCACTAGATGTTATCGGTCGCGTGAGGGACGTCAACACCAACCCCTGATTTTTCGATTCAGGTCGTCCAGGGCGGTTATGAACTTCTCGCCGAACGCCAGCTCGTCACGATCTTCTTGGCGCCGAACTACTGGGGCAAGTTTGACAACGCGGGTGCCATCGTGAGCGTGGACGAAACGCTACTCTGTTCGTTCCAGGTACGCATACACGCCCACACACACCCCTTCCTCTTTCCCCCCTTCTCCATCTCCTTGGGCGTCTCTTCCTTCCTTCCTTGGTTGGGACAACCCGCTGAACCCATGCAACGCATTAGATCCCGAAACCCGCGCGGCTGAGGGATGTGAAGAAGGGCATCATACTCCTGCTCCGCCGAATGAGAATAGGTGAGTCACCTGTACAGAGTATCGGCGGAGCGCAGGTGTGGTCCGCGCGCAAATTCCTTCCTCATCTCGCGGGTGGCACGCGAGTGAGTTCGGAGGAAGGGATCGAAGGGACCGAGCACGAGGGATATCTGAGAAGCAAGAAGAGAACGGGAGAGGGACAAAAGCAGAGAGGGACAAACTAAGGCAAGAACGCCTCACTCGGGGTCTGTAAGGAGTGTCGTTTAGGAAGCGAGGTTGATTGAACCGATGGAGAGAGTTCACGCGGGCGAAAGGGGAGGAAAGAGGGGACGAATCCCTATATCAATCTGATTTGTGGATCAGCCTTATATACATGGTCTACCTACCGGCAGTCCTGAAGTATTGTATGCATATAAAAAGGAAGGAGAGCCATCGTTCGTGAGGCGGGCGAGGCGAGGTTAGTACTGTACGCTGCGCCAGCCCTGCGGTCAGTTTTCCTACCTCCGCTAGTCTGGGTCTCAAACCAAAATGGCTGGGACCGAGACTACACACTGACGACACCGCCACCACCCCTCAATGTTCTCAACCAAAGCCACCAACCCATCCATCGCACAAATGGCAGAAAATGTTCTGTTGGACAATACTCCGATAGCGCCCATTAAGGGACATCCGCATTAGTCAGACGTATCTGAGCCTCGATCTAGGGGCTAATGGGACTTGAGGACGCACACCTTCTCACTGCTCATAGTTCTGAGCATTGTCCTCGAATATATTCTATAATGTTCAACATTTGGTGCTATATTGAAGGCGACCAGGCTTGCTTCCGCATCTCGATTTCGCGCACCCAAGCTGTTTTTGATCTCCAAGAGCAAATTCTGGCCAAAAATCGCAACTATTTAGAGGGGTATGACGCTCACCACCTCAAGCTCATTAAGGTGCGCTTTCTCATGATCTCTACACGAGCATCGATGGAATGAATGGCCTCTACTGCTTGTTGCATCGGCAGGTCGAAGTGAATCTTGGGGATCTGGAAATAGAACGCGAAACTCGTGAAGGCCGATATCGGCCCACTTCCAATGATCGGTTGATGCAAATGCAAAAGCTTTCTGTTGTATGGCCCGAGGGACCTCCCGATGATCATCTCCACATCTTTGTTCGACCAGAGAAGGGAGTGGGCGGTGAGTGCCTCATGCGTCTGAACCCACGTTTTATTTATGCTTCTTTTACCTTCGCCTGCAGTTCAACCTCCTTCCAAGCGACAGCGCATCAACCCTCCCAGTCTCGCAGATGGGTTCCAACCATTCTGGAACAGGTTATGGAATGAGAACGTGAATCCTATTCGCACTGAGACCGTCGTTCGTGATTCCGACCCGGTCGAAGGTCTCACCATTCCACCAACCATCCGTGTATTCCATGGGCTGCCTGCGGAACTTTCTTCTGGTCCCGTATTCATACGGAACCAGTATGACGATGCATGCCAAGTCTTACTGTCTCTCTGTGCTACATATAGTGGGGTCGTTATTGCAGGCCACCCCGGCATAGGTGAGATGAAACTGCCATTGAGAGCGATAGTTACTCACATGCAAGGTGCGCCATCTAGGCAAGACCATGTTCTTGTACTACCTTTTGGCTCTCCGTCTTCACAACAAGCAGCCAACCTTCTTTCAATACACTCCGGACTTTGTTATTCTCTTCAATAGCCTTGGAGTCACATTGCTACCACCGAATGTATCAGCGGACACCTCGGCCCCCAAAGGGTCATGGGCCTTGGTTGATTCGAATACTGAGGTCAAATCTGTTCCACGAATCTTCACGGGGAGCAAATGCCCCTATTTTGTCGTGGTAGCAGCTTTTCCCCACAGAGAACGATGGCAGTCATTGCGGCATAACAGGCCTAACACCAGAGTCTGGTATATGGAACCATTCACATTAGAAGAACTCATACAAGTGTCAGTGTCTTTTTTAGCCAGCTTTTTGTCTTCAGTTGCTCACTTGAGATCCCAGTCGTGAACTTAGTGAAGCCAAGCTTAGCGAGCGAAACATTAAGGTTTTTTTCAAGATGTATGGCCCATCAGCCCGTGAATGTCTATCATGTATTGGCCTCGACCGCTACGATATGGACATCCGCAGACTACTCTCAAGAATATCTTGGGATACGCTGACGAAAGCCATAGCTTCAGTCCTGGACGTTCCGTTCGATGAAGGCCCTCATAGGATCATCCTAGTTGCCCCCGATCCAGAAGATCATTTCTCACCGCAGGTCACAATTGCCACCAAATACATCAATCAATTACTTTGGGACCAAGATGCGAAGGCACTCTGGCGAAATTACCGCCAACTTTACAGGGCGCTCCGTCTGTTACCCGATGGAACAGGCCTCACTGGGGTGGCGTTCTTCGAACCATCCTTTCATGCGCTGTGCATCAGAGGCAAAAAAAACAATTTCTCACTCCGCCCTATGAGTAAAGGTTCTGGGCGTGTCAATTACACATTCAAAACCTTCGCTCCGCAGGGGAGCCGTCTGGAAACGCTCGAGCTCCCCCCTCGAGAACAATTTATTTTCGATCAGGGTAACCCAATATCAGTTCTCAATGACAAGGGATATTATCGGCCAACGGTTCATAATCACCCATCATACGACTCTTTCATTTATGACCCACAATGCCGTCGAGTGACCGTATTTCAGATCACGGAAGCGAAGACACACGTTGTCAAACCAGAGGGGTTGTACGATCTACGTGCCCGCGCGCAAGAGTTGGGGGTCCAAGATTTGACAATACGCTTTGTCATTGTGACTCACGTGAACTCCCCGGTAAGTTGTTCGGTGGAGAGGAATGTGTACGATGATGAGTTAAAGCTCGAAATGTACTTTCTTGAGGTGGACGAGGGCGACCTGTAAGATGAGTGATACTGATAATATTCGCACGTCATGCATGTCTTGTACAATAATAGACGGGATGGGATGTCCTCGGACCGGAACATTTCAATTCGACAACAAACATCAGTCTGGCCACTGCCCCAACTGGCTTCACCTTTCCACTCGTTTCTTTATCTCATCTAGAATCCCCCAACAGGTTGTTTGGCTCCTGCCAGATACCCATCCTCCACGTCTGCGACCTGTCGCTCCTTCGCCCATCATGACTGCCTCTGGGCAGGGCAAACACATCCCAGTCCGGCTCACACCCCTCCCACACTGGGTCCTATGACCCATTTGAAAATATTC